AAAATGGCATTTTAGGCAAAATCTACTCATTTTAAAGAGCTAAGATTACTAAAGTCAAGAATCATTTTTTTCAGTGCATGCTTGTGACAAAAAGAGAAGTGAAAGTGTAAGATTAAAAATCTTGCTATTCTTATTGATATTACTACAATTTTTATGTTTAATTCTTTCTCCTTTTTAATTCAGATTTTAGTTTTTTCTTTTTTTCCCCCTAAAGGTCTCTCTGGTATATCTTCTGAACTTGTCCTTTTTAATTTTGTATGACAAGTTTATTCTCTGACCTAGTGTACGATAAGGTAGCTTGAGAACAAAGATGGCGTGTTCTGTTTCTTTAATACTCGCCGTTGCTTATGCCCATAAATTACCTGTCATCCTAACTGTCATTGTCTTCCATTTTTTCCCTTTTTACATTTTAGAGCTCTGAAGAAAATTGTGAACAAGCAACAGAATGACTGGGACGTCTTTTTGGAGGCTACTCTATTTTCACTGAGGTCTAAGATGCACACCACCACAAAGGTCTCACCATTCCGATTGATGTACGGAAGAGAGGCTGTGTTCCCTTCGGAAGTCCCTCCTGAATTGCCAGTGAGTTCTTCCCATAAATTAGTTAGTTTTCTTTTTCATACATTTCTATTAAATTGTTTCATAATAAATAATGTTTTTATTTTAAACTTATAAAACCACTTTTTGAAAAGAGTATGTCACTACATCCATGTGGCCATCCAGCCACAAACATCTCAACAGATCATTTACTGGATGAAAAAAATAACATGTATAGAATTATTCTTATTACAGTGCATGCTCTTTTATTCTTTTTATATTTCTTTGTTTATGTTCTGTTAAACACTGAAGTTTTCATCTGTCCGCTTAATTTTGCTTACAATTGAAATGTTTTGTGTCTTTAATTGCAGCTGTCCAACATCATTCTCCCTGAGGAATCTAGTTATAATCAGTTTCTGGATTCCAAAGAAAAAGTGAGACAGGTCATTAAGAAAACAGCAGCTGAATCTATTGCAAAGTCTCAGGCAAAGCAGGAAGTGGCATATGCCAAAAGGGTGCAGAAAAGGCATAGAAATGTAGTTTATAAGAAAGGAGATGAGGTTCTATTGCTGAACATGAGAAAACAGACAAGGAAAGGAGGAAGGATAGAACCAGATTTCTATGGGCCCTACATTATTCATGATATTTCTGGGAAGCTTGTGACATTAGCAAATCTTGAGGGGTCTACTTTAAAAAATAAATATAATGTCACCCATATCAAGCCTTACAGAAGATCCGAAACAGACCAGAAAACTAACATGGTCTCTAGTCAGCCAAATGATTCCATCATGATGCCAGTTAACACTTCAACCCCATCCCTTAGCCCCCAGCAAAAAGAAGTAGCACAAAGAACATCGGTCATTAGGTTTGCTCAGAAATCGGTTGATGAATCGGTGCCTCCTACTGCCTCATCTTGTCTTATGATATCATTGCCAAGCCTGCTCAAGCTACCATGTTTTAAATTCGGATATGCTTTCTGTCCACAATAATTGTGTATTTGCCATTTCTATAGGTTGCACCGATATGACAAAAGTTCTGCCCTCTCACCAACAAGGCTCTTTTTGTCTGCAGAACTGTCACTCACTCTATATTTTGTTTTTCACCGGTCTTCTGCTGCTGTGCATGAAAATCATAATTCGGTTGTTTGATGTGATCATTACCTGAATTTCATTCAAATTTTCTTTAATACAGGTTATCGATGCATATCTGTGCCACTTCTTGGAAAATGTACAGGTAAAAGTATATTTCATGCTTTGTTATTAAAATACTCTATATAATCTATAATACTCTGTATTATGAAGATCATTTCCCCTAGACACCTGTACACCAGCTTTGTGCAGTGATTGCATCATCATTGTTTGCTGGGCAGTTCCTTAGTCTCAAAAAGGTAATTTGGCTGAAGGCTTCTATTTTTTATCAAGATGTATGAATTATAATGATTGAGAACCATCACTAACTATTGCACTTGTTATGCAGATGAAATGGCCTGTTCAGGACATTTGGTTGTGCCCCGTGAATTTTCGAGCACATTGGATTCTTGTGGTGTGTGCCTTAATTACTAAACTATTATGAGAAAAAAAGTGTATATGATAGTTAAAATACAAGCATATATATTATTTATTGAAACACAAACTGTTCACTCTAACTGCCAAAGATTTATGTTTTGAAGATTGTGAGAATGTCCCAAAAAACCCTTCTGCTGATTGACCCTTTTGGTAATGAAGGCTATTATGAAAGGAAAGTTCTGCGGAACTGGAGGTACCATTTATAAATTCTGTACTCTTAATTATGTGATTTGTTAAAATCAGCTTTGGAGTGTCATATTCTTACTTCTTTTAATAATCTTTAGAAATTTTTTGAAGATGAGAGGATTTGATGCCCAAAAAGGACAGTGGTGTGTACAGACCTTGCAACACCAAAAGCAGCTTGATGGCAGCAGTTGTGGGGTTCTCATATTGCGGGTAATCATGTGGGTTTTTTTCCTTGTGGATCAATATAACTACATTTGCATTAACTAAAATTGATATTAATATTTGCAGTTTGCTGTGGATTACCTTTTGAGAGGGAACATTTCTGAGGTGCAAACAACTGAGGAAGCTGTGAGGTCTGCACGACTTGAAATAGCGTGTGAACTACTTGAATGTAAAGGTGAGGCAGACTGTAGTGTCCTGGAAAGTGAATGGTGATTTACCAATGTTTCACTGTCTGAGTGTGCAGATGTTTCTTACATTTCATTGCAAAGTACAAAAGCATTTTTATATTTCTAAACATTACATTTCTAGTGAAAGTTTTGTAGTTATGATTATGTGATTATGTAAGAGAGCAGTTTCCAGGCAAAAATACATTGAAGGTTCCTGGGTTTTGAAAAAATAACAACATTGTTAACAACGTGTGACAGCTAACGGTTCCAGAAGAACCCTGGCTCTTTCTGCAATATGCTGAGTAAAACCTACAAACTTCCTTTGAATTGTGAGGGAAATTTATCTAAGAATCATTCACTAAAGAAAAGAAGTCTATCTTTCAGAGATCATACTTTTGAGCATGTGTATGATTTTAGGATTCAGTGGCTTTGTATTATAATTTGATAATTATGGAATTTAATAAATTTATTACCTATGCATTCTCTCCTCTGAATCTGTTTTTAGGAAATGCAGCAGACTACTGTGTGATTTGTTCCATGCTGGACTCAGATCAAGATCACAGCTTCATTGAAATGGTAAAATTTTCACATTAAACTTGATAACTTTGGGCATTTGAGGACATATTGTTAAGATATTGGATTCGCTTTCAATATTTACATCTTATAACTCTAATTACTTACTCTAAGAAATGTATGCACCATTGAACACCTTTTACAAGTGCACTTTTGTACTTAAAAAAAAAAAACATTTTTATTGTTTTACTGGTTAACAACTTTGTTTGATATATTTAAATTTAACTTAAACTTGGGTTTTAATGCTTTTCATTTTGTTAACAATGTTGAATTTTTCTATTGAATAGTTTGTATTAAATGGTGAAAGTGCATCGAGTCTAAGCTTGTTCAAGTCTGAATTTATAACAATGCTTTTTTTAAGTTGTCAAGAAACACCATAATTCATGTTCTGGATTTTGATAATGTGTTAAGATTTTGAAAGATTGCCCACCCTTACTCAAAGACACCCGGAGCCATGAGAGCAAGTAGAGCTAGTGAATATGACCATATTTATCATTACTGTAATTTTCCTCAAATATATACTTTTCCCAATACATCATATCGTCATTACTTCAGGAACACAGAAGTTTATTGCATATTTTATTGCAAAGACAGCATAATTAGCCATAGTTCATTTACTGCTGTGCAGTAATTACATTGAATTAACAGCATTTGTAGTTGAATTGTGAAAATGTCACATGTATTTTCCTGTGGTGCCCACCCCTATTGAAAAATGGTTACATCCATCAGAACATCAGTGTTTTATCTTGAATTATGACTCTTTACTGTTCATGAACCACAGGTACCATGTTCTGATGGGTGTTTCTGAGCTATCAGAACATGCTACCTGTGGTTTATGGACAATAAAGTGTCATAATTAATCATACAAAGAGTAAAACACTGGTGGTAGGATAATCTGATGGGTGTTTCTGAGCTGTCAGAACATGCTACCTGTGATTTATAGACAATAAAGTGTCATAATTAATCATACAAAGGGTGAAACACTGATGGTAGGATAATATAAAAGGTAAAACACTGATGGTAGGATAATCTGATGGGTGTTTCTGAGCTATCAGAACATGCTGCCTGTGATTTATAGACAGTATAATAGTATAATTATGATATAAACAAGTTACGCATCGCATTTGTAGAGCTTGCTGAAACTAGGCAACACCCCCAGTAGGATTTTTTGATAGCGCAGCAAAAACCGATAGATATCACTATAAAAACATGCTCTTTCTTTCAATTATATTCATTATGTCTTAAAGTAATTATGACAATGCTATTTTTTCTTTTTTATCAGACATCTAATTTTTTTAGGTTTTATTCACCTGACATGTTGACAGTGAACGTCGAAACATGTCAGGTGAATAAAACCTAAAAAAATTAGATGTCTGATAAAAAAGAAAAAATAGCATTGTCATAAAAACATGCTGCGGTAGGAAAATCTGACAAGGTAGGACAATCTGACAGAACACCGGCATTATTTTTTGTAAGATGACACTAAGTGAAAGACTGTCATACTAAGTTACATGGTAGAAATGGCAAAAAGGTGGACTACACCACTTGGAAAAGAGGATATGGACAGCAGGTAGAGGAGTTAACGAAGAGGCGTCCGGTGGCCTGGGTGGCAGCAATGAGACGGAAGGAGGTCACTTTCAATACGATATCTCCCTTTATGCGTGCTTGCTCTCGGTATTTTCATAAAGGCAACTAAGATGTTTTTTTTTTGTTTGAGTAATATTACTGAACATGCATTTTTTTGTCTTCTAAAGTTGGTATTTTCACATTGGTTAACCTACGCTAGCAAGCTAGCCTCACTACGGAGGGCAGCAGAAATAGATTAATATGCTCATGTTAAAGTAGTGTTACAGAGTGAATGCTTTTTAAAGACAAGTAAACAGCAAAACTGTAATGACACGTGTATCAGTTAATGTATATTCGCGTGCATGGATTATAAGCCGCAGTGCTGGAAAAGGTTGTCACTGTGTGCTGTGCCCTGTAAAACCAATGCCTAACTATGTTTTAAGTATAGAAACATTTGCAAGTATGGTTTCTAACGTTTTACATGATGCCTGGAAGGATCTGTATAAACTCGTTGTATACCAAGCCTATGTCCTGCTTGCCGCTTATATTTTATTTTAAATATTACCAATAAAGCTATGTCCAATGACATTTTTGTGGTGTTCTTGACTCTTTTTTTCCCATTCTTAAACACCTAAATTGCTGGTGTGCTTTGGTAATGAAAATCAGTAACATTACTGCTAAAGTTCCATAAAACGTTACATTTTTTGTAGAGAAAAAAAAACACTGAATATGAAACATTACGTTTGTTAACCAAATGTGTTTACATCCGCGATACACTCAAAATGGCGAATGGAGGCGTGTCAGACAGTGCAGACACAGATACAGTTCATCTAAAAAAAAATACATGGTCTGACTGTCTCTTGAGTCACCACATGACCAGCCTGAATGCATTTCAGATGCATCATCTTGTATCCGTGAAGCATGCCATACTGGTCCAACTGAGCCTGTAGAAACACTGCAATGTTCTGCAGATCAGAATGGGCTTTCCGTCTGAACAACCGCAAAACCTGCGCAAAGTCGACAAACTAATAACAATGCCATCTACGTTACTTAAAGCTGCGAGTATTTCGCAGTGTTTCAAACCCAAACCAAAATAAAACTGTATTAATCTAAGGAGTGACATTGTTGCAGTGAGCTCTAAAGTAGGCGAAATGAGAGTTGTTGAGGTTAAGTCAGAAAAACAGAGCGTTTTTTTTTTTTTACATGAAAACCGTATCTCGTTAATTCAGAGAAACGGAGCGTATTTTTTTTTTTACATGAAAACCGTATCTCGTTAATTCAGAAAAACAGAGAGTTTTTTTTTTACATGAAAACTTTATCTCGGAAATTCCGAGATAATTATGTCATTAATTCAGAAATTCCGAGATAATTATGTCATTAATTCAGAAAAACAGAGCAGAATTATTTTTTCTCAAGTGAACGCATTACGCTTCCGTATGTTCTCGAGATAACGAAAAGAAAAAAAAGTTTATGCATGTCCTCTATAGACTTCCGTAGATCTCAATTATACTACACTATCATTATCCTATTGATTATTTCTCAGATAAATGTAGTGAAAAAAAAAGAAAAAGAAGGATGAGCCTTTAAAGCCAAGTTAGAAAAAGGGTGAGAAGCTCAGACATCATTCGGAAGGGGGTCAAAATAGAGAAGCACCGAAGCTAGCTGAGATAGGATTGGGTCTCTCTGTAGGATGCAGGGGTGCTGCTAGAGATTTTGGGCCCCATGAAAGCATATCACATTGCACCGCCTAGAGCAGGGGTCTCCAACTCTGGTCCTGGAGAGCTACTATCCAGTCGGTTTTCAATCCTACCTGGCTTCTGATGAGCCACACCTGTTCTCAGGTAAATACCAGGGCTAGGTGTGGCTCATCAGAAGCCAGGTAGGATAGAAAATTTCTGGATAGTAAGCTCTCCAGGACCGGAGTTGGAGACCCCTGCCCCGGTGCCATACCGCGGTGAAGTTGGTTTTATGTTCGTTATTCGCTACATTTACTGATATCTAAACTGCAATATCTTCGGGATCATGACGGTAATTATTTTCATATTAGGCTCCACATGTGAAGTTAAACGAGGAGAATATTTTACACTTTTAGTTAGCTTCACATTCTCCAGCAATATGAATTAAAAATACAAAGACGGGAACATCCTTCCGCCCACACAAAACTGCCGGAAAACTTAGGGACCGTCTTGAAAGTGCAATGCCAATCACCATAACGCCACTTTTACAGTACAGTATGTGTCCTTTAACCGTCTATCAGTATTGCTGTTGGATAAATTGTAATACCTCCTTCATTTTTAAGCCAATCAACATCAAACCAAATGCAGTGTGTTCCTCTGGCTCTCTGTAATCTTTCACACCCTATGAGGAAATTTTCACACCCATCTATTTTCCAGAACAACATTTGTATGTGTCCATATAACTGTGTATCAATATTCATTCATTCAGTTTTACTTTGCTTGGAAATAAACAATAAGCAATATTTTATGTAGGTATTTAATACAAAACAACACCCATATTTCATGAGTTTTCCAATACGTCTAACATCCAAAACATTGGCAATTAGCGATTACTGTTTATTTCCATTTCACTTTAATCACCTCTACTTTTTCTTAGCCATTATTTCCCTCAAAGAAGCCAAGAGAGTAATACATTAATACATGTCACAAACTGATGGTCAACTGGGTCAGTAGGGAGCCAAATGAGTAAAAATGGAAGATGGGTCGCAGTCATGATGCTGCACTGGTTAGCACTGTTGCCTCACACCTCTGGAACCAGGGCCCATTTTTGTGGAGATTACTTGATCTGCCTGTGGGGTTTCCCACAGTCCAAAAGTGTGTGTATGTGTCTGTCCGCTGCCTTGTGCCCATAGACACTGGACCCCCTGCAATCCTGAGATAAACAGATTCAGATAATGGATGGATGTGTTATGCTACAAAAAAAAATTAAAAGAAGAAAAAAAAACAATTTCTCCAACTGCAATATGGACAAACGGTTATAGGTCACATAGCACTGGGGTTCTGGAAAATAGATGAGTGTGAAACTTTCCTGAAAGGGTGTGAAAGATGAGAGAGGGCCAGAGGAACACGCTGAATTTGGTTTGATGTTGATTGGCTTAAATTTTTTTTATTTTTTATCTTTGTTCAATTTATGACATAAAAAGTAACTATGCATCAATGTTTGCTGAAAATATTGTGCATTTTTCCCATTTCCTACAGAGACTGTGTTTACATCTTTTCTATTAAAAAATTACCAAAATATGTTATTTATCGAGGGGTGCCCAAACTTTTGCATACTACTGTAAATTTTACAAATAAGGCATGCAACCATACGTCTAATTTCTGTAAAAATACAGAAAAGAATCAATCCAGTTTCACTGAAGGGATTTCTCTGTTATTTTACAAACTCTGCATAAATATAAATTTATGCAATGTAGTTTTAATAAAGCTTTTCTGTCATTTAACTTAACAGGAAAAAAATATAAATTACAGTTAAATTGATTGATATAAAACAGTTTAAAACTGTAAAAAATTTGCCTTTTTTTCACAGTGTAGGACGCACACATCTTGCAACACATAT